GAAAATCTAGAAACATCTTCATTTGTAAAATTCATTTTAAGCGTTCCTATCGCTGTTAATTAAAATCTTTCTCCGCTGTCGATCTTTGATTTTAACATTTTGTAATGACCTACAATGTGCGTTGATGTGACCGAATTAAAAGGAAAATAATACGCTGCTCGCTCTATTTCATAAAATGGCACAGGGATAAAGTACATGTTATTAACTAGTAACTGTGAAAATTTTGCGTAATTTATTCTATTCTCAAGTTATGTCTATTTACTTCTGTATTGTAAATATTGTAATATATTTCTGATTATATGTATTCGTAAATACCATAAATTATTTAATTCTATAAATATTTCTGTACACAAATGATGTAGTTCCTATGTCAACACAGCGTTGGCTGTTATTAAAATGTCAGAATGTTTTGACGTTTTGTGTGGTTCAACTTAATTGCGTACCCCCCCCCCCCCACCCTTTGTAAATAGCGTGCACTATAAAACCTGGTTGATATTCCCCCTTCCGTACCTTAATAAGCTTGATGTTGATATCAATCTGAAAATCACCCAATTTGAATTATCATTAATATGAATACATTTAAAGTCATTATTTGGTCGAAACTCTTCAGTCTTGTATGATTCCATAGAATTGTTTTTCAGATAAAAAAAATCACACGAAAAGAACATGAATGTTAAAGAAAACCGATCCAAACCTGAATTAAAACAAAAATAACAAAATATATCATCATGCATCGGCCGGGAATCGAACCAGGGTCCCGCGTGGCAGGCGAGGCGAGAATTCTACCACCACCGAAGCTTCATATAAAGAACTAATAATATTCTAAGATATACATGATGTCGTAAAAACTTAGGTACAGATGACGATTCCAACACGCATACCTCTAGGGGTGACCATTAATAGTCGCCCCTTGACTATACTGATGACAATTCATTATGTGTACCTGTAGGGGCGACTATTATAGTCTAGGGGCGACCATTAACAGTCGTCCGTAGAGGTACTGATGGGGATTCCAGCCTTAGGGGCGATCATTAATAGTCGCCTATAGCAGTACAGAAAACATATAGGGGCGACCATTAATTTTCTCTGCTGATAACCCATTTGAGCCGGTGACATCGGCTGAGTCACTACAAGAGAACCCGACCCAAAATCTTTACTCGGAGAGTTTTTATTGGGAGTTCAGTTAACTGGAGTTTATGATGGGAAAAAGTAAAACTTGAGTTGTCATATCATGTGAGAGCCTTTGGACTTTCACCGGCATTCCTTGTTTTTAGTAACTGATCCAAAACCTTTATTTGATTGAGCATTGAACAACCTGCACCGTGTTGTATTGTTTACTAAACCATAGCGTTTCATGTTGTGATGTGTTCCCCTCAACTGGTCTTATTAATTTGGCCACATGGTGGCGCTATGTTCCCTCGACTGTTCTTAGTAGGCCACATGGTGGCGCTATTTTCAGGATGGCCGCGAGTTCTGAACAACGTCGTTGATCATGCATGATTGTCGTTTTTCATTATTGTAAACCATAGAAAAGTGTAAAATTGTGTCGTAATGGTTGTAAACAAAACAACAGTTTTGAATACAAATCTATAGATTACGTATAATTGAGCTAAACCAAGGTAAGTACATCGTGCTTAAAATTGGCTAAATTTGTCGAATAATTATTTAGCTGCTGCCTAGGCCTACAGCTAGTATATATGGTGGTGTACCCTAACGTGGCGCACTTCGAAGCATACCCAAATTTCCTCGTGTAGTGTTGCCAAACCTCTTTGTTGACAAACCTCAAATTCATGCAGTGAAATACTGGTACTTTTACCTTATTAATGCTTGCTGTTTAACCTCTGTGAACAATTTCGGTTTCATAAAATTTAAGCCGAAATTAAAAAACGGTGGCGTCCGGAAATTGGGCACAATTTGGCGGAGTGTTCCCTAACGTGGCGCACTTAAATAAATCTCGGGAAATTCCAAATTAACATTTAAGAATTTCTGAAAACTTGATAAATTCTGATAAATCATTATTATCTCTACTTACATACCCAGCCAGATGTTTGTCACAAAATTATTTTCTTATTTTTCGGGGCATTTTCAAAAGGTTCACTTTGCACTTGAAAATAAAATCGGAAAATCACGCCAAAATAAGTTTTTCTTTTAACTTTGTAGCGGGTAAATAAATTCGCGATTTATGAACGGGAGTGTTTATAACTTGATGAAATTTCACTTTCTGTGAAATTTCAGTTAAAACTTTTGCTCTAGCTAGGCGCTACAGGCGAAAAATCAAAGTGCGCCACGTTAGGGGGCGCGCCACGTTAGGGTACATCAACAATATAGTCGGACTCCCTATTATCGCGGCATCCCTATTATCGCGGCATCCCTATTATCGCGGCATGGGAAATTTTTCTTTTTACAGTGTCAAAACTCCTTCAAGTGGCGATTTTTATCCAGTTCACCAGTCATCAAGGATTTTCTACCGAGTTGTATAAACAGGACGATTAAAAAATGTTGTGTCTTTCGGGACTTTTAACGATTTTAATAAATATTAACGGTTTCCAAAACTTGCAAAATTTTCCCTCACCGTGTCTGCTAAAAGGTACCGTTTATATTTTAACATAAATCTTTAATTGTGCTCTGTCCATGAGAGTGCCATTGTCTGGTTCCCATTCTTCAGCTGCAAATGTAAAATGAAGTCGAACGACGATATTTGCAGCGCTAAATCGTAACAACTTTTACGGGATCAAAATAAGCACCGCGCGTTAGTGAAAATAAAACGACACACCGTGTAAAGTGAATGGCGCCCTCAATCGCTGATCAGTAGACTTGCCTCAGGGATTTGTGTTCTCCTTTCGGGGGAAGGGCAGGGTCTTAAGAAATCATCCTGCAGACATCTTGTCTTTAATCAACTTGAACGTTACAGGGAAAATATCAGACTTTATTCAGGGGGTGTTTTGGTCAAACATAAACTATGAACAAAAAAGTTGGGATCATTATAAAAACCACTTCCCGCATACCGCGATAACAGGGAGTCCACCTCCGTTCGCACACGCCGCGCACGTCTATTTTCACAGGCATCGGACACGGAATAAACCACACCACCCGTCAGATTTTTTTATATTAATTTAAAAAGGAAGAGTTATACTACACATAAGACAGGACAATTCTGGAAGGTTAGTGGGCAATCTCTATTCCGAACGAGAAACGTGATAAGTACCGCGATAATACGGCGTTCCATCCTACTCCTAGAACTATGAGGCTCCGCGTGTAGAAGCCCGCAAAATTGTCTGCAGCACAAAACACTAATAAAGTACAAAAACGTCCATCAAAATGCAGACATTTCACACAGAACCGCTGCACAGTTTGCCCCTATACTCCGTACTTTACCTCTTGATATACTCACATATCTTGGGCACAACTAACATAGGTGGATTCTGTCGGTTTTTAGGCCAAAATGATGAAAAATATGCCCTTTCCTCACTGAGCCAACCGAACACTTGAAACGTGCACGCATATGATTGAGCGATGATTTTCGGTTCGCTCGGAGCGCGCCGCGGGGGGTACGGTACATGCACTTGTACGCATGCACATACTATCATTTCGCCTTGTACCGTCCCCCCCGCGGCGCGCTCCGAGCGAACCGAAAATCATCGCTCGATCATATGCGTGCACGTTTCAAGTGTTCGGTTGGCTCAGTGCGGAAAGGGCATATTTTTCATCATTTTGGCCTAAAAACCGACAGAATCCACCTATGTTAGTTGTGCCCAAGATACGTGAGTATGTCAAGAGGTAAAGTACGGAGTATAGGGGCAAACTGTGCAGCGGTTCTGTGTGAAATGTCTGCATTTTGATGGACGTTTTTGTACTTTATTAGTGTTTTGTGCTGCAGACAATTTTGCGGGCTTCTACATCTATGAGGCTCCGCTCACGCGGAGCCTCATAGTTCTAGGAGTAGCTAGTATAGTCTTAGCCCGACTGCGTCTGGCCGTACAGTACTATCGCAAGCTCTGTAGTACGGCCAGACGCTGAATGCTTCCAAAAAGACTGAATTTTTTTGGTCGCTGATGTAGCGATTTTGCTACATCTTTCGATTGAGATTATCTTTTCATCCAGGACACAAATTTCCAAAGTTAAGGTTCTTAGTCGTAGAGCAACTCATACCTTTTCGAAAAAACGTTCTTTGGTCTCAATATTTTCATCCATCTGGCCACAAGACGAATTTCAGTCATCAGATTCCACAAATATCGTCCCCCATGCGATCCCCCATGCGATATCAAAATGGCGGCCACGCTGTAATGTATGCAATATGCAGGCGCGCCCGCGCAAACTCATGAATATGCATTAACAGTCTGTGACGTATGACCTTGTGTTTTTGGACCAACTGCCAAACAGGTAAAACTCTCAACCAATCAGGATAGTACGTACTTTTAGCTCCACCAATCAGAAATTTTAAACCTTTATCTCAACCAATCACCATCTTCCGCATACAAGCAAAATATCAACCAATCAAAGTCCCCACATTTTTACTTTGAACCCTTACCTTCTTGGTACACGTTTTGACCACCCAGCTGGCCATGTACAACATCTTTTGTCTAAAGTTATTTGTCATGTCCCAAATCTCTTGTCAAAATTAAGCTCTTGTCTAAAGCTATTGGCCATATCCAAAATCTCTTGTCTAAAGCCAAATTGGCCATGTCCAAAATCTCTTGTCTAACGCTAAATTGGCCATGTCCAAAATGTCTTGTCTAAAAGTACTAGCCATATCCAAAATCTGTCTTTTACTCTATTGCCTAGGTCTTTGACAATTGGGAACAAGCTGATAATAGAGCCGGTCCAACCAATTATACTTGTTTCTATTGGCCAGTTTAGTAGATATCTAACCCTTTTCTTGCAACATTCTCCAATCAGCATGATTCCTTTTTCTCGGGCAGCCAATCAGCACCCCTGATATATTTCCCTTGTCCAATGAAATAGTCTGTTATTAAACCAGAAGTTGTTTCTTTTCCCTGCAGTTTCAGACCCGTGTTTCAGCAACCCTTGCCTGAATCAAGCTGAATGCCTCAACTTGGGCAGTGCCTATCACTGTAGCTGCCTGCAAGGATTCTCCGGTGACAACTGCCAATTTGGTAAGCTTCAACGATATTTCCTTAGCAAAAAGCGTTATGAAGCCCTAGTCACACATTCACGGTTTGGAGCTACGGATATCCACGGTTTCATGGTAAAATTCATGATAAACCGTGGGAGTACTTTATTCATCCTTAATACCTCCGTGGTTATCTGTCATCTTTCTTGGGTATTTGTGGAGAGGCCACAGAAGTTTAAAACTGTTCCAAACTTCCGTGGTGAATCGTCATGAAAATCAATCCGTAGTGCAACCGTGGGACATCTGTAGGACAACTGTACTAATTTGTAGTGTTATTCCTGGCTCTTCGTGGCTAATCGTACATTTTCTTGGAGATTCGTAGTTCATTTATGGCAGAAATCTCTACAAATTTGCTACGAATGTTCTACGAATATGTCCAGGTATGCTTCTGCTTAGGTTGTACTACGAATATGTATGCTTTATTCGTAGGAGGACCTTGGTAGTCCGTGGCTCAATTGCAGACAACCGTGGCTTTAAAGTCATTATTCTTAGTAATACCGTCGATATTCTTCACCAATCTGTCCATATTCTTGACAAACTGTGGTGTATTGGTAGAGAAACCTTAGGACAGTCGTAGCTATCCGTCCTGAAACCGTAGTGCATTCTTAGAAAGTCGACTTCTCCACATATCTCGACGGTTCATCATGGTTGATTGATTCTTTGTAAATGGATATTCGTAGATCCAACTGTGAATATGTGACTGTGGTTTGACTGACTAAAACCCATCAGGATGGTTTTATGACATTGACAGGTACCCATCAGATTTTTGCTTATCACATAACCTTGCTAAGCAACATTCTGTGGTTAGAAGCTCAGTAGCTGATTTGTTTTTTGTTTATAAAATTTTGTTGTTGTTTACTTTGCAGTTTCTATTCCAGCTGACCCGTGTCTCAGCCAGCCGTGCTACAACAATGGTTTTTGTCAGGTGTACGATCTGAACAGGGAGTACTGATGCTTCTGCAGTCAGAATTACGCTGGAACGCACTGTGAAATAAGTAAGTGAAACAACTTCAAACACTTTGCCTATCAAACCCTGAAAGGGCCAAGGGGCGAGGGAGGGGGCGTGGAATCCGCCCCCTCCCCTTATATTTTTCCGCAATACCCTTGCAAAAAAAATTCCAAAATTCCCCACCCGAGCTTTCCTGACTTGTTAGCCTCGAGTCTTGCACATCTTTCGATACCAAAAACATAAAATTCCAACCATTTGTTGCTGCGCTTCGAAACTTTTTGTAGTGTACACAAAGCAGAAGTACCATTGGTGCATATGAATAAATAATTAGTCATAATTCCAAAACCTTTAAACCTATAGTCATAAAATTTCTTGAGTATGGCTATATTAAGTTGTTCTATGCATGTACCAAGTTTCATAATTTTTCATCGTTTGATGGCTGAGATCTGAATGGGGGGGGGGGGGGGCAGCTGTGAGATGGTCAAAATAACCCGGCCCCTTTAGGGTTAAATCAGCACACTATCTTTGATACCTCCAGAGATGTAAAATTAAAAAAATACCAGTCCCTTGTTTTGCAAGAATTGTTCGTAAAAACACTTTTATTACCTCTTTCAATCGTTAGGTCTTGTCCCTCAAAATCCCTGCGACAGTTCCCCATGCCAGAATAGGGGAGTCTGTTTCCGTAGCAGCGTTCAAGAGAGCTATGTTTGTTCCTGTGTGAATGACTTCACTGGAGTTCATTGTGAAAACGGTAAATAAATAATACTTGTTTTAGGTTTTTGTGTTTTCAAAATTGTTTGGTTAATTCTATATTTTAAACTGAATGGAGGAACTTATTATTTATGATAATCTTGATCTGTTGTTTCCAACAGCACCTACCCCTCCAGATCCATGTGAACCCTCCCCCTGCCAGAATGGAGGAGTCTGTTACCCACAAGGCAGTGCTGGCCATCTCTGCGATTGTCCAGACAACTACGTTGGTACCAACTGTGAAACTTGTAAGAGACTTTTAATCATTTGAGAATTAACTCTTAGATAATTGAACTTGTAATCCAAATTCTTAAAATTTGTGACTTTCTACTCCTTTTTTGTTTAAAGATGTACTATCTGAGCTCTTGAATAAGTTCAAATTTGTTCATCTTTATTATGAATTTTCAAAATTTTGGGAGGACTGAATTCTTCTCAGGCCATAAATGATTTGAAATTTGTTACGTAGTTATTTCATAATAACTTGGACCATTTTTTTGTTCTATGTCTCATTCAAAAGTGGGTAACTATTGTTTTGCTAGAAAATAACAATTTTAAAAATTGATTTGATTTTTGAGGTTAAACCCAAAATTGTGTGTACAGTGAATGTTTAAGGATCATTTAAATATTCAAAATATCTGTTTCATTCTCTTCTTACGAAACCTCATTTTCTGGTTTTTATTTATTTATATTTTTCTGGTACAGATGTCGCGCCAGTTATTCCATGTCAGAGCGACCCTTGTCATAATGGAGGCGTATGCTTCCCCCAAGGGCCTGGCTACACGTGTGTTTGCGCTAATAGTTACTGGAGGGCGTTAATAGTTGATCATGCCACACAAACTGACAAGATGAGAAACCCAAACTCCGCATCGGTATTCACTCAGGTAAGATCATTGTCTTTGCTTGTGGTCGAGATACTTAAGATTGATAAATCACAAATACATCACAAGTCCAGTCACAAGTACATCACAAGTCCAGTCACAAGTACATCACAAGTCTAGTCACAAGTGCATCATAAGTCCAGTCACAAGTACATTATTATTATTATTATTATTAGCAACCAAAGCATCTAAAATGGTTGGATTAAAAACATTTTGAAAGATATTTAAATTACATTTGAGTTTGAAATATTAAACCTTTTAAATAGCAATGCACATTATAAACATTAAAAGCTCCTAAAAGTAACCAAGTTACTGGAAACATACTTTCACAAACCTAGAACATGACTAACAGAGCTCCACCGGTCATGACAAGTATTTAAATTTAAAAACAAAACATTTCAGTTATAATACATATTTAAATCATTTAGACACACATGCATTCACAGGTAACTTCACACGATATAAAAACACTTCAACCTAAAATAGTCATTAATATCAACATCAGCATCAACTTAACATTGCTAAAAAGTGACTAACAATTAGGACTGTAAATTATAAAGACACCAGGGAATGCAACTATTTTTAGTCTGTTCGTTTTACAGAAAGGCAGGCTGAACTGTCTTTGGTTCCTTAATGCATACGATACAGGCTGGTGTTTTTCGAGCAAATGATTCAGCTTATGGTTAGGATTTGACATGTCAGCGAATAACTGCTCACACAGTGACTTCCTGCGGGCATATACACTATGAATATCTACCTGCTCCATTGCCTTTGCATAAGACTTACCAGGGATAATAATTCTCAAAGCTCTTCGTTGAATGGATTCCAACAAATGGGACTGTTCCTTAGTTAAGCTGCTATGGTAAACCTGGCATGCATAATCAAGTATGGATCTAATACAAGCAAAATAGTATTTGCAGAGGTCCAGCTGGTTAAGACCTGCCCTACGAAGTTGCACTAACAAATAAAGTCTCTGAGCAGCTTTCGTATACACAGCATTAACATGAGTTTCCCATCGTAAATCATCACTGATGTTCAACCCTAACAGTTTCATTTGTTTCACACGATCAATGTTATGATCATCAATGTTTATGCTGGGAATTAACGGCACATGTTTACGGAAACTGATAACCATTTCTTTAGTTTTATTTGGATTAATCCGCATGTCATTATGTGAGGACCAATCAATCACCTCCTGCACCGACTCCTGCATTTTGGATTCATCTGGCGATGTTACTATTTCATACAGTGTTGTATCATCAACATATTTGACTGTGGGCAGGGAGGGTTGAAGATCTCCAATCATCATGATGAAAAGCAATGGCCCAAGTTTTGTTCCCTGTGGGACTCCACCATTGATGACAGTCCACTGTGATTTACAGGTGCCGATCTTAACACGCTGCATTCTGTGTCGCAGAAACTCTGTAACCCAGTTGACGATGACTTGATCAACATGAAGAGATTTCAGTTTATCGATGAGAATCACATGGTTGATCCTATGAAATGCCTTGCTGTAGTCGAAGAAAAGGACACGCACCATGTTCTTGGCTTGATCTGTGGCAGAGTACCAGTTGTGCAACAGGTCAATGAGAGCGCAAGTAGTTGATGAGCCCGGGACGTTACCAAATTGGACTGGATCTAACTGCGGCTGGTACTGCTCCCATAGCCATTTAAACACGAATCCCTCAAGAATCTTCACTAGCACGGCGGTTAGGGAGATTGGACGCAAGTCATTCTCTACTGAGGCAGGTGGAGTCGTTTTCGGGATGGCGATAACTTCAGCAGCCTTCCAGATGCTTGGTAGAGTTGCTTGGGCCACCAAAGCATTAAAGATGGAGCAGACGGGTCTTGCCAACATGGATGCGTGATCTTTCAAGATCCAATTGGGAATCTGATCAGGACCAGGTGCCTTGTGTGTTCTCACTGACTTCAGTGCTTTCTAAACCGCCGCACTTATGAGGACGTACTTGGTGGGAATTAAATCTTCACTGTGAGACTCTGGTGCTTCTAGCGGAGGTAGGTCGGATGAGATGGATGCAAAGAAAGAATTCACCAATTCAGCAAATTCTTCCTGATCACCATGCGCAACATTGTCGACAAGGTATTTCAACGGGTCATAGTCGTGTTTCTCACCTGTGAGTGACTTTACTTCGTTCCACCAATTTAGAAGGTCCAGAAGATCAACTTTTGCCTGAAAGTACTGTTTCCGAATCGACTTCCTCAACCTGTTCACTTTGTTTCTGTAGTACCTATACTGGGGCTGGTGTCCTCCGTGCCAAGCACGCTGTCTCTTTTTTATCAAATCCCTAAAACAATCTGTGACCCAAGGTTTTTCACTTTCTACTCTGGTGACTTGCTTCCACTGGAAGTGCCGGTCTACAAGGGATACGATGGTTGTTTCAAACTGGTCATACTTATCTGAGCAAGGGATACACTGGTACAATGGAGTCCAGTCCACCTCCTGCAACTCATCTTTGAATGCTGCTTTTGCACGTGGGAGAAAGCGTCTAATAACCCGTGAATGTTTTTTGGCAGGTTGCATTGCAAACGACGGCTTGGATTGACAAACCGCACCACTTGATGATCAGACAGACCATGCGCTGGTTCAATTGTTGGTTCATAAGTTATACACATCACTCATGTTAGTGTATATCAGGTCCAGGCGCGCATTGTTTCGTGTTGCCCCTCTAACGATTTGCTTCAATTTGTAGTTGCGTTTGAGGATAGCATCTGGCATTCGGTTAAAGTCACCTGTTAAAATAATTCCCGCAGATGGGTGCAAGCTCATAACACTGTCTAGCGAGGTGTATATGTGCTCCAGCATATATGATTATGCTTGTCTTTGACGTTATGGGGCTGATAAATAGCTCCAAACACAATGGCATTAAACTGCCGCGGAAGACGTTGGGGCTGCAATTTAAGCCAGACAGACTCGACGTTCTCCTCAGCTAAATTCCTGAGCACCGAAAATGGAATGTTGGCATGTACATAGCACACAATCTCTCCACCTGATGTATGGTCTCTGTTATGTCTTATTGGGGGGTGATAGTGATCTACCGTAACAACAAGACGCTATCAGGAACACTGGTAGGACACCATGATTCTGTTATGCAACACACATCGACTTTATGTTCAGTTAGTGTTACACTTAACTTATCAAGTTTTGGAATCAAAGATCTGGCTTTCGTATTCATCAGGGTAGGTATATTAAGTTTATTGGTTTTAATTGCCACCAAGTTACTCACGCAGACAGCCGCCTGTTGCTTTCGAGGCCGCATATTTCTACAGTTAACCAAGACTCTGATGGGCGTTGGCGAGTAATTCCAACCCTGGTACCCCGCTTGATATATTTATTGCATAGACCATGCAACTTCAGCGTAGACCACACTTTCGCTGGTAATCTGCCTACTGCTCCAGTCTGTTTCATCATATGGTTCCAATGCTGAGTAACTGTTGTGCGGTGTAGCGTAACATGGTGGTGCAACGTGACTTGCTCAAATGTCGACACAGTCACATCCAAAACTTCCAACAGTTTGCTGTATTGCAATGTCTTAAAAACTCACTAATTATCTCACAACATATGACAAAGGCACAATACGACAAAACGAGACGTAACACGCAAAAAAATGGAATTTTCGCGGAGCAAAACGAGAGAGTGCTGCCACAAGTACATCACAAGTCACATCACAAGTCCAGTCAAAGGTACTTCACAAGTACATTACAAGTCCAGTCACAAGTACATCATTAGTCTAGTCACAAGCACATTACAATTTCAGTCACAAGTACATTACAAGTCCAGTCACATGTCCAGTCACAAGTCCAGTCACAAATCCAGTCACAAGTCCAGTCACAAGTATAACACAAGTCTAGTCACAAGTACATCACAAGTCCATTCACAAGTACATGTCAAGTATAGTCACACATGCATCATAAGCCCAGTCACAAGTACATCACAAGTCTAGTCACAAGTACGTCACAAGTTTAGTCACAAGTACATCACAAGTCCAGTCACAGGTACATCACAAGTCCAGTCACAAGAACATCACAAGTCCAGTCACAAGAACATCATAAGTCTAGTCACAAGTACGTCACAAGTGTAGTCACAGGTACATCACAAGTCCAGCCACAAGTATATTACAAGTCTATAGTCACAAGTACATCACAAGTCCAGTCACAGGTACATCACAAGTCCAGTCACAAGAACATCACAAGTTTAGTCACAAGTGCATCATAAGCCCAGTCACAAGAACATCACTAGTCTGTTCACAAGTACATCGCAAGTCTGGTGGCAAATACATCACAAGTCCAGTCACAAGTACATCACAAGTCCAGTCACAAGTACATCACAAGTCTGGTGGCAAGTACATCACAAGTCCAGTCACAAGTACATCACAAGTCTGGTCACAAGTGAATCACAAGTCCAGTCACAAGTATATCACAAGTCCAGTCACAAGTTCATCACAAGTCTGGTGGCAAGTAAATCACAAGTCCAGTCACAAGTACATCACAAGTCCAGTCACAAGTGAATCACAAGTCTGGTGGCAAGTACATCACAAGTCCAGTCACAAGTACATCACAAGTCCAGTCACAAGTGAATCACAAGTCCAGTCACAAGTATTTCACAAGTCTAGTCACAAGTACATTACAAGTACATCACAAGTACATCACAAGTATTGTACTTTAATATAGCTCTATGAGAACATCAGAGTCCAGCCGCAAAGGATCGATACCCAAGTACGAAAATTACAATAAAAATAAAAAACAACCCAAGTCTGGTGGCAAATACATCACAAGTCCAGTCACAAGTACATCACAAGTCCAGTCACAAGTACATCACAAGTCTGGTGGCAAGTACATCACAAGTCCAGTCACAAGTACATCACAAGTCTGGTCACAAGTGAATCACAAGTCCAGTCACAAGTATATCACAAGTCCAGTCACAAGTTCATCACAAGTCTGGTGGCAAGTAAATCACAAGTCCAGTCACAAGTATATCACAAGTCCAGTCACAAGTTCATCACAAGTCTGGTGGCAAGTACATCACAAGTCCAGTCACAAGTACATCACAAGTCCAGTCACAAGTGAATCACAAGTCCAGTCACAAGTATATCACAAGTCCAGTCACAAGTAAATCACAAGTCTAGTCACAAGTACATCACAAGTCCAGTCACAAGTATTTCACAAGTCTAGTCACAAGTACATTACAAGTACATCACAAGTACATCACAAGTATTGTACTTTAATATAGCTCTATGAGAACATCAGAGTCCAGCCGCAAAGGATCGATACCCAAGTACGAAAATTACAATAAAAATAAAAAACAACCCTTAGTACAGCTAGTCGGACTGCCTGTGAAATTATTCTCTCTGGCATTACATGC